ATTTTTTAAAGTTACATAATCTAAAAAGAGACAAATGATAGCCAAAAATTAGAATCGTGTGCCTGCCACTTTAAATATTTAGATTTAATGAAGATTTCCGTTGTTTCTGTACATTTTTCCTAGCCTATGACAACCTTTGTTTCCGATAACAAAAACCGAAATTTCCGATAACATAGTGAACCATTCAACCGTATTTCCGATAACATCCTGAAAGTTAAAAAACGGGAATTTTTAACCTTTAAATACATCTTTGCGAGATTCTGTTGATGTCAAATTGTGGACAATAATTAATGTAAGGTAATTACAAAGATTTTGAAAAAAAGATGCTATATGCAGCAATGCCAATCGGACAAAAACTTGCAAAATATAACAAATTTGACTTTTAAAGTCTTCCCAAGACTTACAAATACTGTAATAAGATATATTGGGGCTTTATTTCGTATCTGTATTCATTCTTGTTCACAAAAATCACAATCAACATTCTCTGTTTTTATTATTACAGTGTTTATTTGCAACAATTTACTAACCTGTCAAAATTTGTTATCCTCCGAATGCCCGATAACAACCGAATAGCCGATAACGCGTTGAGCAGTGTGTAATGTGAAGTCATAGACATCGACGATGGCGCGCAGCACCAGATTGGGGGTAGATGCAAGAAACAATCACCACTTCTCGTTGGAGGGGGGGGGGCCAAGATAAAAAAAAATCGCATTCATTCATGATATAGAAGTGAGAAAATTAAAAAAATAATATTCTGCGAACTTGAAGAGATCTATGATTGTCATGTTTGACCGGTGAATATGAAAATACAATGTTAACATAGTTTCTGTAATTGTGAAATTAAAAATATCGTCAGATTACTAAACAAAATGAAATTAAGAAATTCATTTCTTTATATCCCCATAAAATTTATCTGGGACTTTACAGTGCTAAGATAAATATGGAAACTTTCTTACTGAATCATATGATTTCCAAGAATACCCCGTTTTCAGTTTTCCTAATAATAAATATTTCCAATTATCAATTTTTATTTCTTGACCAAGATCAAGCTCGTATAATGTAAAATGCAATTTGCTAACATTACCTTTTCAATTCGACATCAAGCTGAATAATTTATAAACAAAGTTTTATGACAACCTCCCCCCCCCCCTTCTTTTTTCAACCATATACTAGTATACATATTTGATTTTTACACATTGAGAAAATGACGTGTAGGCTACATCCTTTTTGCCTATATCATATGGAATATACGCCACTGTCTCCACAGAAAAGGGAGAAAGTCCGAAGAGCACTTTATTGCTAGCGCTCTCGAGCGCTAGCAACTACGTTAGTCTATATTTCTGGAATACGCATGCTCGACTTCACGGTCGGGCATTCTGGGAAAACTACTGAAGATAGACTGTACGATGATAATTTCGTTTTATCATAAAAATTGATATGGTCCGAATTCTGAATTTCTTAATTTATTGTCTAACCTATGATTAAAAGTACAAGAAAATTTGGGTCATATAATGCCAAGATCAACTGGTCAAACCTAGCTTTCCTTCAAGCTAACCATGTATACTACCTTCCTAGATAATTCCGGCAAGCTCAGAAACAAACCCAGGAAATCTTTCAGAGTATTCGGAAAGACACGAGAAACGATTGATTCAATGCAGTAGCACTGATATAATTATAATTCTTTAATTTCTCATTTTTCCTTTTTTGACGGAAAAGCCCGAGTAATGATCCGATTGTTATTGCTGGCGCTCTCGAGCTAGCAATAACTCGAGATGTATGCTCGACTTCATGGTAGGACACTCTGGGAATACTACTTGTAGATAAATTGTCAATTTCGTTTTTTAATCTGAAAATGCATATGATCTGAAGTTTCGCGTTTTGTTGTCTAATCACAAATAAACGTTCAAAAGGTAACAGTAAATGCCAAAATTGTACAGATCAATTATAATTTCTAAAATTATAATTTTAAAAAACTAGCTATTTTTAACTATATTCCTGGATCTTTCCGGCAAGCTCGGAATAACAACCTCGGATATATTTTCCGAGCTTGCCAGGAAAGGCCCGAAAGGACTCTGATGCGATTGCTACAAAACAGTACCACACTGGACTGTTTTTAAACTAGCTGTTCATTGGTTCTACTTATCTCTTATTTTTCACTTCAAAATTGAAATTGCAGAAAACTACAGAATGCTTAAAGCACAGTATCCCGAATTTAATCCAACAATAGCCTTTTTATAAATAGTCTGATGAATATTCTGTATTAAACACTGAATAGCTGATACATTCACCATTCTGAATTAAGACACACACACCCCAACACTACCTCCAGTGTACCACTGTGTCTTCCTATTAATAATTAGGGACGACCATTTGATTCTGAAGGGGGGGGGGTGAAAGATTTTGGAAATAAATAATCTGTCCTCAAAAAAGTTGGAAATAAATAACTGTCTTTCCACGACCGGCAAGAAAATAAATAATCTGTCATTGGCTATTACTACTTAACCCCCCCTCCCGGTCCCTCTTTGAACTTTTTTGTATTTGTTTTTGTCAAACTTTTTTTATTAAGAAGAAAATAAATAATCTGTCCTTGATCATCTTGAAAATAAATAATCTGTCCTTGACTGGCGTGAAAATAAATAATCTGACTCGAAAGATTTTGCCAGACCCCCCCCCCCTCCTCAGAATCAAATGATCGTCCCCTTAATCGATTCAGCAAATAAATCCAATAATTCAGATATCTAATTCTGTGGTTTATGATAGCTACAGCGCTAGCTCACCTATCTTTTTAAAAGATAAGCTTGTGATGAGTAAAAATAATCAACCAATTAGGAAAGCAGCAAAGGAGAAGGAGCTGTCTTATTCAGTAATTGGTTATTATGTATATATGGGTTTTCTGTATCCATTTATCTGTCTTTGAATTTGAAATTATATGAAATTGTTTATATTACTCATAAAATTAACAAAAATGATGACTTAGAATGACTTGAAACTAGGGATGTCAAAATATTTATTTTTCTTAGTCGATTATTCGATTGCATTATTCGAACGATAGTCGAATATTCGGAACATTTTCTGAAAATAAAATTTTATTTCAAACTTCACTGGTACATGACGTATTTATAACTCAAAAACCCTTAATCTGTTTAATGCAGCGTAACGTTGGATAGCAAGATTATATGAAATAAATTTAGAAATCTAATATTCCTAAATTCATGATTTCTCCATCAATCGAATTCATAAATTGGTGTGTACATGCAGTTAGTTTTTATTTTAGTTAGCATTCAAAATTTGCTAGCCGATATTTTTTTAAAGCTTATTGTGAAATAAATGGGGGGGGGGGGGTAATCTCACACTATCCAAACGCCAGGTGGCTGTTAAATTGTTAAACAGTTAGTTACTGCTTATTCATTTATTGATGGTTCTGGCTATCAAAATGTCCTTAATTATGAACAATTTAAAATGCAAGCGAATTGTTCTAATAATTATCGAAGCGTCAAAACATGTCACATGTTCCTCGCATTTGAGCAATCTTAAAATAAAAGATAATTGGTACATCGCATAAAATCAAGTACAATTAATTTTTTTTTACAAACAAAGCCCAGATATATGTTGATGGTTGATTTATTAGAAAAACAACACAAGCAGTAACTGGTGGATAATTAATTCTCGCGGTAGTGAAGCATTTATAATTACTGTACTTTCTATACGCACATGGAAAATCAAGTTTTTTTGAAGAGGAAAATTATCTTATCAACTGTCTCCGAGGAAAGACGGTTTCTCAATTTTGAAATGAGAATTCCATATCCTTATCACTCTTTTATTGCATTTTTTTAAAATTATAATATTCGAATGTCGTTTCATTATTCGATCGTCGGTCCATTCGACTGACAGTCGAATAGTCGACTATTCGTTGACATCCCTACTTGAAACTAATTGAGGCAGTTGCTCTATATCAACTAGTCATTTTTTTCCCTAATGAATTCACTGTTGTTGTTTTTTGTCATCAATTGTCGGGTGCAATAAAATGAACACTACTCAAAAAAAATTAAAGCCTTTCTTTTTTTTCTTCTTTATATTCTAAGGCATAGTAAAACGTAAAAAGGGTATTTTTATCACTGTCCCTAACAAAAATAATCAGCTGTATGTCACGTGATTCGGTAATGGAGAAAATGATCCGCTAAAGGAGAAAACATCATTCATCCAAATACAGCGATAATTTTTATTTAATCAGTGGTTGTTGGGAAAATAATATATGATGTTATAAGTCAAGCATGGTACCACCAAACAATGTATTGTGAATTTAACTCGGACTCGGGTACGAACTATCAAAGCAAATTTACTGATTCGTTATCGGCGACCTCAGTGTAGGTAAATATTATTTTTGCATGAATAATTATGTATCTTCAGATTTTTTATTCAATTGTTTTTTTTTGTTTTTTGTTTTTTTTTCGCATCATTAGTCTCCTACTTGTGAAACTGAAGGAGACTAGGCTTTCCCCCTGTCTGTTCCACCTGATTTTCTGCACTTTTCTTCTCAATGCTTGCAGATATCGAGATGATTTTTAGTATGTGAGTGTATCTTGATGAGTTACAAATCAATTGCATTTTGTTCCACTTTGATGATTTTTGATGGAATTATAGCCTTTTTAATTTTTAAGGGGGACAAGAATTTCCATTTGGTTTTCTGCTCATTTTTCCGCTTGCAGATATTGAGATGACTTTTTGTATGCAGGTCTAATTTTGAGTTGTAGATCAAGTTTGCATTTTGTTTCAGTTCAGTGATTTTTAATTACTATAGCACAACCTTTTAATTTTTAAGAGCAACCAGATTTCACTTGCCAGCAGAGAACTAGTACTGCTTATGCAATACTCCTAGAAATGCTTGTTTATTTGAAATTTTTATTAGCATTTCATGAAGAACATGAATTAGTGGGTCTCTTCAGTCCACAGGTTTAATCAAATAAAGATAACAATAATCATGCATAAATATCATATTTATTGCTACAATATTTTAACATTTTCATATCCTACAATTTTTTTTAAATGGCACAATCATATTAAGGAATTCTGTCAAAAATAATGAATAGAGTCACTTTACAATAAAGGGTAGAAAATGAGCTCCAAATAAAAGTATAAACAAAATCCTGGTAACACAAAATATGATTACCTTAAGAAAACAAAAAATTCTCAATTCCTTTCATCCATTTGAATACAGTGTACATACATGCATGTATGAATATGAATGATTAGGTAACAATCCCACATTATTCATGTACTTCAAGTGAAAATAAAGCTTCAAAAGAAGCTAGATTCCATATACCTGTTTTATAACAAGTTTTGCAGTAGATAATAAAATTACAATTGCACTGTATATACATATGCTATACTATCTGTATAAACCTTCAGTATATGACTACAACTTCACTACAAAGCAGATGATTCAATGCAAACAATATATGACATTATGCTTATGAGACCATATTTGTAAAATGCATTTATGAAAATATATCACCAATAATGTTTTGCTGTCAGAACAAATTGTCTTAGACACAGCCAAAGAACATCCCCTCTGTCTATAGACCATGTTTCTTGTATAGGTCAATGACATCCTGTACATCGTCCTTGGAGCCCATGAACACAGGACATCGTTCATGAATTGTCTGTGGAACAATATCCAAAATGTTCTGTGTTCCTGTGACAGCAAGCCCTCCAGCTTGTTCCACAATGAATGCCATGGGGATACTCTCGTACAACATTCTTAGCTGAAAAATAAACCAACATCATGAATGCTTCTGTACAACAATACTAAGATAATGCAGAACTAAAGGTTCTGTGAGGGCGCTCATGAAAATGATCTCCATCATGAATTTTTTGAATTGTTGAACCCAATGTTTATCTCTTGCAAAATTATGAACCAGACACAAATTTTACACTTTTTTTCCAAGTAACCTTCAACTAAACATTGGGTCAAGGCCATGACACACCCTCAGGTCATAAGCAATCTTTGTGTCTACCAGGAACTTCCTACATTTCTTCATTTCAGGATATAACTGTTAATGAATTTTTTTTGCAAGTGACCTTTAACTTTTGCAAATGACCTTGGGTCAAGGTCATTACACCCCTTAGGCTTCAAGTTTTCTTTGAGTTAAGCATGTTTCAATGTTTTTATTTGGCCAGTACAGGATTTATATATTTATCTGAAAGTGACCTTAAAATGTGCTAATAAACAAGATCTTTACCCCTCAGACTTTAAAGTTTTCTTTGTGTGAAGTATGAACATCTTATGTTTATTTATTAGAGGAACCTTGAACTACCCAAACTGACCGAGGTAAAAGTAAACACTTCAAATGAATCTCCATTAAAAAGTTATGGTTCGGACACAAATTATGCTTTTTCTGCCTCAAATTCACCCAAATGACCTTAGGTCAAGGTCAAGACACATCCATGGGACAAAAGCAATCTTTTTGTCAACTATGAGCCTCCAATATTCCTACATTACAAATTTAAGGTCTGGACAAGATTGCAGACAGATGGACAGATAGACAAAAAGATTCCTATTTACCCCAAACTTTCATCTGCAAAACATGTCAGTATATACACTGACACTCAATAGGAATGCATTAAGCAGTTAACTATTTAAAACTATATAAATATTTTTATCTAATGATATTCACAACACAGATTTTAACAGTAAGAGATAAGTTGCAAAGATTTAAAATGCTCGACATTTCATTAAAAAGTTGAACATTATCATGTAACTTTAGAAAGAAAGAGGAAACTGTTCATAATCCCCACCCCTTCCCTTCTATTTAATAACAATTGCATATCAGTTGCAGGTTGAATTCCATGATGCATTGAAATTATCATCTTTTGATCTGAAAAAGAAATATTCTGCCAGTTAAAGAGTTTGGTTTTCAGATACTGTATTTTAATTCCTTGATGTTGGTGCAGTGTAGTAGCCCCTAGTCTTCTGGTCCTGTCACTAGTCTAATGAGAATATACCCCTGTAGAGATATGATATAGTGCATCTCTCCACCAGCAACACCTTTTATACTTCATTTTGAGACTTTTCTGCTATATGTAGTTGCAATGTGTGCCCCCCCCCCCCATTCATTTTTGGTAGGCCTCAATATAAATAATAGTGAAGAGTACACATATATTTCCACTATCAATATAAATAAAACAGTAATTGGCATCACAAAAGGAAATGAAATGAATATTTTTTTTTCAAACCTTTCCCTTGGGTGCTTCTGAAGTTGCAGGATACATAAATATTCCCCCATAGACAAGGGTTCTGTGAACATCTGCTACCATTGATCCAATGTACCTTGCTCCATATGGTTTCCCTGTCTACAATATTGGAGAGAAAAGAAATGAATCAATTTACATGCTTATCTGTGAAATAATGCAAAGTTTGTGTATTTTTAGCTCACCTGAGCCAAAGGCTCTAGAGAGCTTTTCTGATCGGTGTCAGGCCTCCATCGTCTGTCTGTCTGTCTATCTGTTGTGTGTTTGTAAACTTTTCAATTTCAACCTGTTCTCCTGATCCACTGCACTAATTTCAACCAAACTTTCCACAAAGTATCTCTGGTGGAGGAGGGATTTAGACTTGTGCAAACAAGAGGCCACTCCCTTTTTTAAAAAGAGATAAATGAGGAATACTGAACATTACATAAAGTGCACTCCTATGGCACATGAAAGGATTGCCAAATATTAATTGTTTAATATCCATTATAGAGATGAATGTGCATGGAAGAAAATCATGTCAACCTTAGTACAAAGATCTCAATGATTTTTTGCTCTTCTAAGCCAAAGGCTCAAAGAGCTAATGCTATGGCCATTTGTGCGGTGTGTGTAAACTTTTTTGGAAAATGGGCCATATCTCAAGAACCCCTTAGTCAATTTTTTTTTCAAATTTGTCACAGAGTATCCTTGGCCCAAGGGCTTTCATTGATACTAAAACTAGGGATGTGTCCCTTAAACAAGGGGAGATAATTAGGGAAATAAAAACAAAAGTAGTGATTGCTAAAAAATCTTCTTCTCAAGAACCACTGGGCAGTTTATCACCGAACTCATATACAAGGATATGTTGTAAATTAAAATTTGTAATTTTGGCAAAGTTTCAAGGTCACTTCAAAGTTGACCGAAATTTATGTTTTGTTTAATCTTTTATATTTTGCCCACTATAAGGCCAAGGATCATCAAATCTTGTTAGTTGATGCATCTTCGGATCTCATATCATGTTGACTCAAAAGTAGGTCACGGTGACCTACTTTTTGAATTTTGCAGGTATTCATTTTCATTTTGATGCATAACTTGGATACTTTGAAGCCTATGATCATCAAAACTTGTCAGTTTATGCATCATGGGACCTTGAAGTGTGTCAACCAAATAAGTAGGTCACCATGACCTACTTTCTAAATTTTATGGCTTTTCATTTTCTAAACATTAAAGGTCATTATTTCTGATACTAAGAGGTTTAGAATCATCAAACATTGTAAGTTGATGCACTTATGGGTATTAAAACAGATATATCAAAAAGAAGGTCACAGTTACCTACTTTTGGAATTTTACAGGTATTCATTTTCAAATTACTTAAGGGGCATATTTTGGACACTTTGGAGCATAGGATCATCAAACTTAGTCAGTTGATGTATCTTGGGTCCTCAAAGTGTGTCAATCAAAAAGTAGGTCACTGTGACCTTTTTTTTGGAATTTGATGGCTTTTTCAGTTACTAATTGGCTTAGAATCATCAAACTTTGTCAGTTGATGCATCTTGAATCCTCGGAGTGTATCAACCAAAAAGTAGGTCACTTGACCTACTTTTGCAACTTCATGGCTAAATCTAAATATTTCAGATACTAATTGGCTTGGAATTTCAAACTTTGTTAATTGTTGCCATGCTGACCTACTTTTGGAATTTCAAGGCTTTATCCTTATATATAGGTTACCAAGAGCCTCTTGGCAAGAGGCTTAAAACAGATGAGATTAAAGGTTGTACAATTTTTAGAAGAGCGATTCTAGGCCCTTGGGCCTCTTGTTCTATTCATAATGCTGGATGTGCATCTGCTCTTACTAGTTATTATTTAGAATAAAAAGTACACAGTGGTGGATTTAAAGGGGGGGGGGGGCACCCAGCGTGCCCCCTGAAATTGTCAAAGTTAGCGTAAATCATAGTTTTGTCGAGAAAATGTAAAAATGTCTACTCAGTAGATCTCATTTTTACACTACAAAATGTCTAGAATCCAGGAGCTTCTGGGGGCTTCGCCCCATGGGCCCCCACCAGGGCTTCGCCTGGACCCACTGGGGGTCTCAAGGTGCCCCCCAAAACCCTGCCTACTTTTTGGATGAGCAAATGCCCAATCAGCAGCTTGTTCAGTGTGTTTTTTATGAATGATGGACAATACCACAGACTAATAAAACAACAAAATACAAAAGATTATTATTATTACACTGTGTACCTAATACATTGCAAAAATCTGTTATCTTAGTGAGACAAGACACTCTACAAATTACTAACTGAGAATTAAAAATATTATATCATATATTATCAAATTAATTCTGATAACCTTATACTAAATAAATTTTGAAGTCTTTTATCAAATAAATTTTGTTGCCCGCATGGTGCAGTGGTTAGAGCGTCTGCTCTAGAGTCGCGAAGTTAGGAGTTGATCCTTTCGTCGCGAGTTCGAATCCCACTGTGGGATGTGGAGACCGGTCCTTCGGATGAGACCGTATAAACCGAGGCCCCGTGTCGCAGTAGGTGCTGGCACAAAAAAGACCCCTCACTGCTCAATGGCCGTAAGTGCCGAGTATAGGACAAAAATTTGCAGCTCTCCGCCGGCAAGTGGTGGCGTCTCTGTATGAGTGAAAAATTCTGGAGAGGGACGTTAAACAACATACAATCAATCAATCAAATAAATTTTGAAATTAAAGGATAGCCATCAAGGACAATTTTAATTTGACAAATGCTTTCAATTACAGTCAAGATAATCCTGATAGATAGCTCTTGCTTGATCAGAGATGCTCCAACAGATATGATTAAGACAGTCTTCTTACATTAACCTCATTAATTTTAAATCTTGAACTTGACAGATGTAATTTGGTTCTTATCAAAATGCTCTTTGCATGTTTCTCCCAAGGGACAAGTGGAACTTCTCTTGTTAGTGTTAAAAACAAAACAAATATTATATTTGCTATAAAAAAAACTCATGTACAGTACATCATAAGAAAAGGCTCAAGGGCCTTAACAGTCACCTGTGTATAACACAACCCTGAGCAGAGAAGAATTTCAAAGAATTAATTGAATTTTCACTATACAAATGTATAATCAATTTATCCCCACCCTTACACCAGGACCCCTGACACATTTTTGAAAGAGGTGCCCATGCTCATCACACACTTAGTTCATTTGCCAATTACCCAGGAACAGAGAAGAAGATTTTCAAAGAATTAATACATTTTCACAGTATAATCAATAGAGTCCTGCCCTAACAACAGAACCCATGACACATAGGCCATTAAATTAACAATTTTGGACTTAGTTTATCTGCTTATTACCTGGGCAGGGGTCTAGAATTACGCTTTCCCTTTGCCCGGAGCAAGTGAAATTCATCTCGGGAAAGATAGTTTTCATGATAAACTTACCCGAAAGGGAAAGTAATAAATTTCAGGCTGAGCCAGCAAAACTTTTCGAGTTTATTAAAAGAAATCAATAACAATAAACATCCAATTACATTGTATTAGAATCTGCACAAGTCTGCTACATTTCGTTTATTTAATCTCCAATACTTATCATAGGAAGTCCAATTACTTGTATAATATAGGAACCAATCTGGAAAGATCTCAAAATTACGGAATGGCTTTTAAAACAGAAATGATGTTTTGAAAACAATGTTTTGTCAAAATGTGATTAAATCAATAGATATTTTAACAAAATAACAAACAAGTACATAATAATTGCTTTTAGATGGTGTATACATTAAAACCACACAATAAAAAAAATAACAAAATAGAGTTGTTTACATTTTTCTAAATTTTTGTTTTCGAGTTCTGTTTTAAGTTAATGATATGTTTTCAAATAAATAAACCAGTAAAATTAAATGATTTTCTGATATGTTTTCAGAAAAAAAAAATCAGTAAAACTAGATTATTTTCTCTATCTTTTTGGGGGCAAGTGAATTTTGAATCTGGGCAAGTGGATTCCCAGTCATTACTTGCCCATGGGCAAGTGAATTTAAAAAAAAATTCTAGACCCCTGCTGGGAGCAGAGAAGATTTTCAAAGAAATAATACATTTCCACAATATAATGAATAAAGCCCCATCCAAACAACAGAACCCCTGACCCAGGGGCCATGTATTTCACAATTATGAAAAGAGGCACCCTTGCTCATCATAAAAATCCACTTTGTTTGTCTGAGTTGAATGTGTGCAACTGTTGCCGAGTTTGAGTTGAATGTGTGCAACTGTTGCCGAGATAATGAATGAAAAGTCAATGATGACGGAATGAGGGAACAGGGTAATACTATATGCCCCTGGCAATTTTATGGCGGAGGCATAACTAGATGTGTTGTAATGCCACGAATGCCTCCCACAGGCAGCCAAAATTTCAAATGCCATATTTAGTTTTAAATTTGTTTGCACAAAATTTTTTTTCCAAGTTCAAGGGGCATAACTTAAATAAAAACTATACAATGTTAACCTTACAAAGGTGGCTCTATACATTGGTGCTTATACATTTTAAGACACTGCGTCACAAGACGGCAGTATAAATGTTTTGTAAAATTGTTTGTATAGATTGATTTGGTCAATTATTATCATAGCCAAGTGGTTAAAGTATCGGACTTGTGAACCGCTAATCCCAAGTTCAAATCTTGCTTCGGTTTTTATTCATATTTTGAACAGAAAGTCAATGACGAAATGACAGAATGATGGAACAGGTTAACACTATATGCCCCAACCATTTTATGGCAGGGGAATAAATATGTGATCGGGACTTCCAAATCACTTCTATATATCCATGTTATTTGCATTTTTCATCAAGAAATTTCTATTGATAATGCAATGTTCACTGAATAACATCACATATTACTTATCTTTGCAACGCTACCACCCTCTCAGTGTTTCTCTATCAATTTTTTAAAAAATTTTTGATTTTTTTTAATTGTTTCCAAAGATTTCCATTGAAACCTACATTTTAATCTTTCTAACAATGTATGGTATATATTCCTATCTGCAATTATATGTTGAAATTTCCTCAGTTTGGGACCTTGAAACAAATTGTGCTCTCAGTGACAGCAATTGCATTCATGGACATCTGAATGCAACTGCTGGGTACAAATTCATAGAA